AGGATGGACGACACTGCACATATTATAGATGGTCTCCTTCAAAAAATCTACCCGGTAACAACTATATCTTTCATTAACTAAGATTTGGGCCTGTTTGGGATAGCTTCCTTTAAAGCTCTTCTAACCAAGCATGTCCAAAGCAACTTCTTAGTCTTTGAAGTAGCTTTTGACTTTTCAAAATCCCTAAGAAACGGGCTTAGTCATTTATTACTTTCAGACTAAAGAGTTACCTTATCTTCCTCTTTTCATTGTCTCTCAAGATACCCTCGAAATGGATGGAGTGACGATATCTGAAGTTGCCTGGTTAGAAGAGTCTCAGCCTCCAGATGACTTCGTGGTTAGGAGAGGGCAATACAAGGGCCGTGTTATCAAAACTTGAGATGATTTTTGGTGCTATTCGTATGCATTGATGCCTTCATTGGGGAGTTTGTTTAGTTTAATTAAAGTTTCTACTTATGTGACAATAATTTTTGCTAACTGCAGAAATTAGACTTTGAGATGTATATATTGATGCATTAGATATTATTTTCGCGTTTTCAACCTAAAATGGTAAAAACTTGAGCTGAAATATGGACGTGGTGATGCCTTTATATGGTTTGTTACTTGTATTTTAGCCGGTTTCTCTTTAATGTCTCCTTATAATCAATGACAGTGAAACTTTTGGTAACAATTCTAGCTTTATGTTGCTCAACATAAAGCGTGATCGGTCTTAAAAGATCCATTTACAGCCAAACTTTTTTTTGATTCTTTTAAGGTATTTCAATGGACCGAAAACTTTATTTTGATTCATAAATTTCGACTCTTCTTTGATAGTATCTATCCATTTAGCAGAATTCTAACTTTCAGTGACGTGTGAAAATAAAACTAGATCTTCATCAATTCTTAAGTAAAATTTAGACACTTGCAGATAAACAACATAATCATCAGGGGAACTGTTCTATAGGGGTCTCACCATCCCCTCACATGGGGTTGGCCCCACGTGAGCCCTGACGTCATAAAAAATGAAAAAAAATAAAAAAATCTGACCGCTCACAAGTAAGACTCTTGTAAGTGCTAAGTCTGTACGGCCAGCATTGCTCATCATCAGGGATAACATGTCTTCGTTCTTATAAATACTGGTTGTCATATAAATTTGCAACAAAAACAAAAGGTAGCATTAAACAATTTTCATTAAGATTTTAAGATATATAG